GGCTTAGATAGCCAGTGCGTGGAAAGAAACCCTCTCACAAAGTTTCCATATCTATTATATCCAGTTTTTAGACCTGAACATAACACAATTTGCAAAACCCCTTAAATCATCATGGTTTGCCCCATTCCAATTTTCAATTAGACGTCATCAAAAAATCTTTAATGAAAATCTCATAGCAAACAAAAAACAATCAATAATTAACAGGTACTATACGTCTCGGGCGAGTCTTTATTTTTAATAATTTCAGATCAGATCAGAAGAAAACCCAAAATAAAGACCCTTTATTCCCATTTCTCAATAAAATATTTATTACAACCTTGGCCTGTACATTTGGGAGAATCAAGCCCTCCCTTTCCTTTCGCGAAACCTAAACCCTAAACCTTGACCTTAATCTACCTTACCTTACTTACCTTACTTTTTTTTAAGATGACCATGAAACGAGCTGTCTTTGGTCTAGAATATCAAGGGAAATTATATATATTGTTTCTTAAGAAACTGCATCTCGACTTTCAAACGCAGATATTTCTGGACACACATGGATTTGTCAAATTTCGACAGTCAGCTGTGAACGCTATTATTGATTGACTAAGCTAAAATCTTCCCGTTTCTAAGACTAAGGTACGATTGGTAAAAAAAAATGGCGCATCTATCCCTTTAATGTGATAAAGCAGTGTATTAGAGAATTAAAACTGTTCATAGCATCAAAGATCATTAAAAAGATTGGGCATGTGAAGATACAATACAAACGGTCTAAAGGGAATTTCTGTGAGCGCTCGGCCACAAATTAGGCTTTGAGGAAACTACCGAGGATTGTCGAATGGTGAAGATCATAGTATCTAAAGAATATCAAACGTTCAAAAAGAGGAAAATGTTATTTCGTTTTCCGATACAAAAGCAATGCAAATTTTTCACAATTTGACGGTAGCCGACAGCATGGCGAAGACAGAAAAGATAACAAACGACTTAAAACACGAAAATCAGGATACTTTGCCAACAAAAACAAACGAAAATTTGTCAGGGAGATCGTTAGATGTAGCGGAAGAGGCATCAGCTTCTGTTAGGGAGCTCAATAATGTGGTAACGTTGTATTTTAATTATTTTCAGAATGTTATCTGTTCAAGGGAAGTAACCCCTAAAGTTAGGTCTACCTCAAGAACTTATGGCAACGTAGGACTACAGACCACAGTTAAATTGTATTGTTTCTGATTAAGATCATATTGAAAAATAATGTTGGTGATATAAATCCTTGTTTTCTTTTAGCCTTACATAAATTCAACATTGTGAAAGATTGAATAAGATGAAATTACTTTTGGCTTCAGTGTTGATGCCAACAAATGGTCTGAACTTATCATGGTCTAATCATGGTTTAACTATTTTAATTTTATACATAAAAAGTTTGATTTTGTGTCTGTTTCAGATATTGAAGTTAAAACCAATAGTGAAACAAGCCAAATCAAGAACCATTCAGAAAATAGTTAGACAGATTCAAAGATTAAAAAAGACAAAGTAAGTGAATTTTCCAGATTTACTTAAAGTCCTTTTTTATAGAAACTTATACCACAAGGATGACACAAATGCAGCCCTAAACCCATTTACTGCAAAGTGATTGTAAAGAGGTTTTCTAATTAATTCGTTATCTGGACACTTGTAGCATGGATAAGCACATTTCCAATTTTTAGTCGAAAGTCCATGGTTGTCTTGATTCCATTGAAATTAAGCGTTTCTTGATTCACTAATACTATCTAATAATATCTCAGGACAATTGGTATAGTTACGTCATAAAACACTTATTTTGATGGGAATTGCGAGAATTTGGGTTAAAATTGCATTCTATTCACATAATTATATAAAGTAACTTTGTATTTTAGAGGGTCTGATGAGAAAGTTGAGAAATCTAGAAATAAAGCTGAGAGATTGTTAGATGAGATATATACTATTAAGGCAAGTATCTGTATATCCTTATGTTTTTATTAATTATCCATTGCTAGTGTCATCCCAGCTTTAAGAGGTGGGGCCATGGACCATCTTCTAGTTGAGATCTTGAGCCTAAGTTGCTATCCTTGTATTACTTAATTTCTATCTTTTCTATTTATGGCAATGTCCTAAGAAAAGATGAGTCGTATAATTCCAGACACATATGGATTTGAAGGCTCAAATTTTGACTCTGAGCTGCGAACACTATTACTGATGGCTTTGACAATTGGTAAAAAAAGTGGCACATCTGTCCCTTTAAGATGACGAAAAATATTTGATGGGAAGATTATAGTATCTTACATTTATCAAGGATTTGATACATTATTGAACATTTGGTTGCAAACCTGGTGTCAGAGTAATATTGAAATCTATATCACCTAACCCTAGCTCTTAATTTAGTGTAGCCTTGGACAAAAGGGTGCTTCTGCATCTCCTCTCTCCCCCAGCCCATGATTTGGACAATCTCTGACTCTATCATTTCAGTCATTAGAGCTAGAACAATTGGCTCAATATTCACTAGGAAATACGACTAGCTTCTTTCATCTCAGTTCTCAGGTTAGTGTAGATATATTTTCTTTCTTATTTACTGTACAAACAGTAGGGGAATAGTTCACAGAGTAGTGTCCAAAAAAGGCATGGGTCTCAGTCACCAAGTTAAATTCCTTATAACAGCATCTGTGGTCTTTTTCCAATAAGTTTGCTTTTGAATTTGAGCTCCACTATAATAATCTTCTTGAAGGGCAGTGCTGTCTAGATGGGCCATTTACAAATTAAGACACTTGCTGATGGGTTTGTCAACTGTTCAGACAGTCCATGTGACGATTTGTTTAGTTAGTTTTCCGTTTGATCTACTGTGAAGTCTTTATCATTTTCAGAGAACTGGCATGTTCAGCAAGTATATAAACTGCCCCGATAAAGCTTCAATATTAAAAGGTTAACCCCCATTTCAAAACAGCTTAACCTGATGAGGATTGTGTATCCAAAACATGTGTCTGCAGCATGATTATCTCTTGTGAATAAATAGGAAATAATTAATAATTTTATTTTATAATCTATTATTCACCTTTCAAACTCATTTATTTCTAGAAAGATATACCAGTTGAGATCAAAGCCATGACTAGAGTGTCTGAAAACCCTCAAGTTCAGCAATACGTCAAGGCGTTTCGGGCGAACCACAAAGATTGGGAGAAGCTAGGAGACTTCATGTTATCTAAACAATCAGGTCGACGTTATAAACATGCTACGAGTGAAAATCGTGTAGAACGTATCAAAGCTAGTGAGGCTCTTGTGAAGACATATATTGATAAGAAATTCTCAGGGGATAAAGACAAAATTAAAAAGGTGGAGTCCATTTCCGAACATGTTTTAACTAAACCTCGTAGATTTCAAAAAGCTGATACATCTGAAAGTTTGAAAGACTCCGAACCCAAAAAAGATACGAAGGGTCCAAAACCTGAGAAAAGGAAATTATTTAGATCTATTGTAGCTCAAAATGATTCTGAAAATGACGATAATACAGAAACATCAAATTCAAAACCTGAAAATGAGTCAAAACTAGTGAATGTGTCTTTCGATCAGGATAAAAAGTCGAATTCAAAATTGTTGAATAAACTAAAAAATTCAAATTTATCCAACAGTCAGTCAAAAAAATCCACCATTTTGAAAGATCCAAAGGATAGTGCAAGTGAACGAAGTCAAAGTTCTGATTCCTCTTCAGATGAAAGTGATGTTGACAATACAGTGATTCGTAAAGGAGAGCAAAAGGAGGACGTGACATGTGATGGGGGCTCTGTTGCCAGTGACAGTAAAGATAGCGATACAAGTGAAGAATCTGCGGCCATTCCAGACACTCAAGTGACTAATAAGATTGACAAAACTTACGATTCTGAAAGCACGGATTCTGACAGTGAGCTTCATAGTGATGACAGTGGAATAAACACTAAGGCTCTTCCTGAATCTAAGATTCCAAAAAGTTCTCAAAAACTTTCCTCACAAAATGTTCTTGAGAAGTCAACTGTTGAAAAAAACAAAAAGAAAATAGTAAAAGAAAAACCTGTGAAAGATACTTCAAAAATTACAAAAAGTTTCAAGACAAACGATAGTGACGATGAGTTTGTGATTAAGAAAAATAATGACATGGTCGTTCGAAAAATTGATTGGGACAATTTTGGTATTGGCTGTGATTTTAGACCATCGTTTAACAAAAATATTCCCGAAGTCAAGAAAAGACGACAAAAAAATGATTTTTTTGAAAATGATGGGGATGAATTTGATGATGATGAAGATGATGATAATAATGAGAAAGATTTGATTCGTGAAGATGATAAAGAAGAAATTAAGGGTTATGGGCGTTCGTTAATTGAAAGTTCGTTTGTGAAATCTTTAGGTGGAGGACCAAGGACTAGACCTGTCGTAGACAGAGAAAGAAAAAAGTTAGAAATACAGATAAAAAGGTAAGAAATCACTGTAATTTTCATGAAAGTTGCATGTTTGTGTGGAATTTAAATGGCACAATTTCTCACTTATGTTGAAAATTGATTGCAAGGTTTTTTTGAGAAACTTGAGCCTGGGAGAAAATCTCTTAATGACAATGTTTTATTTGTTTTGGTGGCATGTGACCATAAAGAAATTCTGAAGTGCTGTTAGAAGCTGAAATTAAGTAAGGGCAACTAAACTTTGATATGACTGACAAGTATGGCAAATTCGGCAGACGGAGATGGAGGGATACCAGGGATTCTGCTGTTCTTGTATTTGAATAACAGGACTTCCTGTATGCTTTCTAGAGTGTATCAGCTATGTACTTTATCATCAGTGCACTATGGTTCAATGATTAATTAATTAGGCATTATAAGTGCTGACTGCTGGCAAACTATATTGACAATTATACAGTATATAACCTCAGCTTATTTTATCTTGAACTTGTGTCAAATATGATTTACTGATAAGGGCTCATAATATGGTGTTACTTATAGATGTTTCAGAAAATATATTCATATAATAAAAACTTATTCCATGCAACTTTAATTATTACTTTGTACATAATATGAGTTCTTTTTTTGTGTCCAGAGAAATGAACAGTAAAAAGAAACAACAAGAGAAAAAAGATTCTAAAAATCGTCAGCCTCACAATAAACCTGGGAAATATCAACAACAAAATAAGGGCCAGTTTAATAAAGGTGAGATGACATGGAATGATTTTTGGACTTATTGTAGGTCTTCTTCATTGATTTTGCCAGCTTTTGTACTGCAATTTGAATAAGGCTGTGTTTAACAAATCTGTGGTGCCAATTCGAGTCTAGTAGTGTCTGAAAACTGCCACTGACTCTCAGTTTTGGTTGCTTGTGGAGTAGTAGTGGCCAGTCCAATCAAGAGTGATCTAACATTGAAAAAATAATTACCCAAAGCACCAACTTGTGGTGCTCAATTTTAGGAAAGTGGCATTGCAAAATACAGAAATTTGTCTTCATGTGAATTGAATTTTAGCACATATAATTACACTAGAAATTGTTATAAAGCACTGATCAGAAAAGTATTAGTATGATCCAATTTCTCACTATTTCGTTTCAGGTTCTAGTCAGACAGAAAATGTTCACCCCTCCTGGGCTGCCAGTCTTAAGCGGAAGCAGGAACAAGGTGCCCTTTCGGCTTTTCAGGGCAAGAAAATTAAATTTGATGATTAGATGTTGAAATTATTTGTAATGAATATTATTAATAATATTAAAAGTGAAAATTATGTTTTCTGATAATCTATTTTATTTCTGAAAGCACATTGACAACAATTGGTATATATCATATAAGATTTGAAAAGTTAGCTGGAAATAATGAAAACAAACGGGAATTCAGGGCTAGTTCTATTTATTTCCATTCCATTTTGGTCCGACACACTGACCCAATCTATGGACTGGATGATGACCGGTGAGGCACGATGTTTTGTGATAATTGATACAGCAGAAATTAGAAATATAGAAAGTAAAACTGGGCATTTTACGAGGCGCATTCGCAAAGACCCGGCGTTCACGCTTTTTGGGATTGCACATGAGTTTGAAACGATAAAACTCTCCGTGTGGTCGCCTTTTTCAAAATGGAATCAAATACAAGTTAAAACGGCGAAAACCTATGCAACACAATGCAAAGGTATTACGAACTGCGTCTTGTACTTGAATGCAGCGATTTGATTTGATAGTTCGCTAGTGAATACAGCCCATATCCCTCGACAGACAAACTTAAAATTTGGAAGCGCAAGTCATTGAGGACTGTAACTGGCTGTATTCGGTAGTGTACAATCGCATCAATACCCTGCATTCACTTCCGGGATACTAGATAGGTGGCTATCTGTTTCTCAATAGTTTAATGAGACAAGTTTGAAACTCTCTCTAAAAATGTTTCTGGATTAATTTTATCCCATTCTTGAATTAAAATGTCGGAATTTCTGGAAGCCTCGGCAGCGAATGGATTCCCAGGCTGGTGGATTTTGTTGTATTCACAGAGAACCAGGTTCTGGCTAAAACTACCTCCAATTGACCAATAGAGAGCTGACAGATCCAAGGGCGATAACTCAGTAATTGACAAGTAGCCTTGTAAGATCTGAAGTGTGATATCTATCAAGGCATCTCCGTGAACTGCGGTTGTGATCAAATCATAGTAATTCTTGTCGTCAAGAAAGTTGTTTAGTTGGAATTCTATCACATCTTTCCTCAGCTTGCCATCATTTTGTAGGCCTACATTTTGGAAATTATTGTTTGGCTCTTTCCTGATTGTATCGCCATTATGCTTTTTCCGAAGCTGTTCTCCATTGGGATCTTTTACAATAATGTTATCAGTTTGAAACTGATTTTTTTGAAGCGTTTTGCCATTAGGTTCTTTACTAATCGTGTCTCCAGATGAATCTTTCTGCATCTCGTCGCCATTTACATTTTTTGGAAGGTTGTCGTTTCCTATCTGAGTCATGTCTTCTGTTGAATCCTTCGGAAATGTGCCACCTGTAGGCCTACATTCTTTTTGGAGCGCCTGTTCGGTGTATGCCAGCAACTGATCGGCGATCAACCAACCAACGTCCAAGATGATGAAAGAGTAACACAAATCGTTAAAATCAATCATACCATACTTCTGTTTGATTTCTGAAGTCGGGTGCTCTTGATTAATTATGATGTTCAGATCTCTTATATCGCCATGGATGACACCTGAAAAAAAAACCAAACAAACTTCTATTTGACACATGGACCATACGAAACAACTACACAGCCAGTTGTAGTTGACGTATCAGTTACCAGACATGCAGTTCCTGTGGCACAGGGACATTATCTTTCGGATATGATTAAGGTGTTCCTCAAGCAGCGTTTAGGATAATATCCTCCTTCCCCAACGAAAAGATGTAATAATTTAGGACGCTCCGAAGAGACGATCCTGATGTTCATTTCTTTTTAACTTGAAGAGACTGATACAGGAAGAGTAGGATACACTCAATGCCCAGGGAAACCACTCAACCCTCTCTCCAACATCTAAAATACAAACCTTTAGTTAAATTGGCTGTAGGATCATGCAGGGTGCGATGAAGAGTTTTTGAAATCTTTGTAACAATTTCAATAATTTCTTCACTCTGAAAAATTAAAAGTAAAGTGATAGTCGTGGATCATAAACACGCAAAAATCGAGTTTACATTGGGGCAAAAAAGAAACAAAGTGGTACAATGTATGGACGAGAGTAGGTAACCATGTTCCTTTAGCATCGGTACGATGATAACGATTAGATGTGAATAATCATCGTACCGTTGCTAAAGGAACATGGTAGGTAACATGGTATGGTCACAATGTTATTATTACGAACTTCGTCTAAGAACAAGACTGCAATACCATTCTTTCTTATATGGCGGAATGAAAGGATTTGATTGGATTGTACGCCAGATAATTCAGTCAATCGTGCAGAGGGGGTTGGAAATATAGCCAAAAATCTTACTGTATTTGGACGAATAATAAGGAACCGATAAAGAGATAAGTAGAACAATCACGCTTTGTATGTTTCTTACCAAAGATGGAGTTAAATATTTCAAAACAACTAGTGGATTTTCTGCACCCCAGGGATTGTTCGGGTCCACACTCAGACCAGCAGGTGGGAAATCCTGAAAAAAAGATCATTTTCCTTTTAGTCCCTTAATGTGTAAATTGACGACGTAATATAGTATCCATACTCCTGTATTCTACAACATGTAATTTCTTTTGAATCGATTATTCCTCACCGAAGTTTGGAAAAATACTCGGTTAGACATACCACCGACTGTGTATAACTATACAACTTATATTCTATTTTGGTGTTAAGGCGAGAGTATATCTCCTCCTACACCCATCTATTTTTGTGGTCTCAGGGGTACGTCAGCGGCGCCAGCCTTCCGAGACAAATAGGGAACAGACTGACTAATTTGGGGACAACTCCTAAGGCTGATTTCAAATATTTGCTACTCTGTGGTGGTGTCATAGTCGCAAGCCTCTCATAGAGCGTCTCATAGGTTCTCTCAAGAAAATTGTAGAAAAACTGAATTGATTTTGTGCATTCTGACACATATTTTGGAGAAAAAGGTAGACATTTGGATTTGTTGAAAATAAAGTGGGGGTACAATTGGGAATAGGGTTAAGTTTCTTCATGGACTCCCTCCCCCAATCCCGAATCAAGGTTTGCCCAGCTTTGTCACCCCCTCCCAAATTTTTCAAATTTCTTAGCATTTTAATATTGCCTGTGAGCTCCCTTCTAACAATTCTTTGGCTCTACTCGGAAGTTTCGCCTAATGATTCACAGAAACTCCCTTGCCATGGTGCCATCTTGATTACAAGCCAAGATATCTCCCTGAAAATATCAACGTACCTTCAGGGTGAAATGGAACTCGGCGAGAAGTTGTCCCAGTTCAAACTGGGTGCTAGAGTTGGTGGATAAAGATCTGAGAGGTTGACCAGGTAAATAGATCAGCAGTTTTACTAAACACAGCTCTGATTTCCCTGTAACAAACACACTATTGAATGGAGGTTTCCTAAACTTTTTATGTGTGTCGAGGATGTGTGTCAGTCAGATGTCTGTGGTTCCTGCAAGTCCACAAAAACTAATTTATTAAATTCGTGTCACTACCGAGGCGTTAAAATGATACTACCTCCTAAAGTGGAAAAAAAGTCTCAAACTTGGTTAATAAGTCTAAATATTCACTTACCAGGTGCCCTTGTTCCTTTAGCAACGGTATTATGATAATGATCATGGTAATAATCATCGTACCGTTGCTAAAAGAACATACCAGGTGCCATGACTAAATAGAATCTCTATATATTATCATGTAATATAACACTATATATCCATTAGATAGTATTGCAACACGCTTCTAAGCAATTATTCCAATTTTGTTGGTCATCCTAAGATACAGGTATAATGGCGTAATAAAATCTACTAACCTGAGCTAGTCGGGAGCGGTAGGCGCAGAAACGACTTCCCATCCTTAGTTGGAATTATTTTTGAAGTAACGAACCCATTCTGAAGTAGATGATCCATAATAGATCCAATAGCTTCATGGAAGAACGGAATGGATTCATGACTGTTCACCACTTTTAGAATGTAGACAACTTGGATATCCTCCTTTTGAGTGGAAACTTTAAAATTCCTGTCACCAGATGACTCTAGTTCTATTATCTCTAGAGATGTCAAACCGAAATATTCAGTGATGATATCCCTAGCTAGTTGAATATCTACTGTAGGACGTGTTGTACCCAAATATCCGGTATTTTTTTCCTTCTCACACATCGTAATACAGCTTTTAACACTGAGCGTCATTTAAAACTACTCGAAATCAAGCACTCATCAAAACATGATACACATATTGTTCAACCAACCGTCTATAATTGTTCAGAATGGGTGTCCTATTGCATTTTATACGCCTAGGTATAAATAGTAAAATGCTTACCCTTGCATTTAGGTACAAATAAGCGACGTGTATTAAACTGTATTACATATATATATTTTATTGTATGCGTGTATGGAGGGGGATCGTTGCCAGAAGTATTCACAAAGTCAAACTTGAAAACAAGGCCTCGGCTTTACAAGTCACAATTACAAAATACATCTCTCCAAAATCAATTAATCCATTTACTAATTACAAACTAGAGATATTCATAGTTTACTTTTCAAACTTCATTTCACAACAATCTAATAAGTCAATATTTAAACTTTTTTATTTTGAAAATGAATTCTTGTCTTTGCATTATTGACATTATCAACAATGTCTTCTTGACTTTGTATTCTTGAGGGATGTAAGTTCGACCACTGTATTCTTGAGAGTTTTAATGTCAACTTCTGCTTTCTTGAACGTTTATCAAATAAGGTATAGTGACCTACCTCATTTACATAACCGAATTTCACAACACTAACGGAAATAACAAAAATTACACCTCGTCTTTTCTTCACTGGCCGACAAATATTTAAGACAGATGGATACACTAAATTTTTGGAATGATTACGATTGTTGTAAAAGAATAAAAAAAAAACGAATATATTGTAATTCAAATAAAACGTCTCAAAAGTGATGAATATGATATTATTCTTACATGATTATCAAAATCTTGCTTATCACACATATGCTAAAGATATAGATATACTGGTGGTCATTAGAGGGTAAGTCAAACAGTTTTAGGCCTACCTAACTAATACTTATAACCATATATCATAGTGTCCCTGTAAATAATAGAATATGTCAGTACTGTGATCTTAATCAGGCGGATGATGAACAATATTTTCTTCAAGTATGTCCTAAATACTGTTAGCTCCGAGAGAAATATTTAACTTATTATACATATTTATAACCATCCCTTCATATTATACTAGCCCTACCACCTTTTATAGCAAAAGACATTTCTCGTTTTGTGTTTTTTGCTCTTGAAGAAAGTAAAAAGGGACCATGAGAGTTGTACTTGATATTTTGATATTATTCTGCATGTATTAGAACTATATCATATCTATATAAATTTAATCTTTTCATATCATTGTACCGTTTTCATGTTTGTTATCTATCGGCCTATCAAGGACCATGACACCTTGTTTTATATATTAAGTATTCATTATATCTTTCACCTTATTATACTGTTTATATATTTGTATGTCCACAATGGGGGTATATGCAATAAAATCTTATCTTATCTAAGTGTAGCTTATTGTGTTTCTACTGCATTTCAAACATTCAAAGGCCAATAGCTGAGATTGTCCCCCCCGAGAGAGACCTTCAAACCCACCTAGGGTAAAAAATTAATCGAGGGGTCAACAGCCTACCCAATCAGTGAGTTTTGAAAGATGGTTTTAAAAAATGTCAGAGCGCTTATATTGGTCAGAACCAACAGCATAAATCCGAGTTTTGTTCCCGTATAACCATATTACCCTACCCTCCCCATCCGACTCCATAAAAAAACACCAAAACTTTCATTTTCCGACGCTAGTAGTGACAAATCTAAATTTTGAGTCCATTTGCCTATCATAAAACTGCTCATTATCTTTATTGCTTGATTGATATACATTGTCATACTTTAAAGCTGATTTCGATGATTTTAGACAATACCAATTTGAAATTAACTCACCGGAACACGTCAACAGTTGTTCCTGGTACAAACTTATCATCAACAAGTCTGTTTTGAAAAGCGACATATTATATGATATTAAATTTACTAAACGCTAGAAGAAATAACACCACGTTTCTGGGCCGCTGTCAAGTGATTTAGCAACCTTCATGATGTGTTGGTTCACAAGATGGTTTGGTAAAAAGACAATAATAACACTACAGAATGAAGTTCTTCATTCGGCTCAACCTTCGCCAATGTTCGTTAGTTTTCGTAAGTTGAACATGAAATGCTGACCTATTATTGCCGAAGTTCATACGAGTTACAGTTCTTATGTCTATGATTCATTTAATAAGCGTATTCTGATTGATTGAGATATATTTAGGCTTAGAATTTTATCATTACCATTTACCGCCAGACGTCTATGGTTCCGGTAATTCGATCCTATTTTGATATGATATTTAGATTTATATCTAATTCCGGTCGCTTTTAGTGTAAAATTATTTGGTTTTCTCAAATAAATAGTGAAGAAAACTGGACACCGTTCATATAGATCTAGTACATTTCACCATTACTTTCTTACAGTTACAATAGGACAGTGGCTAGGGAGCAAGTGATATATCCTGAGAGGAATGTGGTGTTTAGGTGCAGTGACGATATAGGTTGGTCATTTATGACCCCTTTCCCCCTGCAGATACGGGCCTGAAAGCGATATATTTAGCAGATATCATATTAAGTCTTTTTATTTTAAACAAAGTGCCCTTTTGACTATTTTGTGGAGTCACTGAACACTGATTTGATGATTGCTAATAGCTATATACTGAATCAAGCTCACTGAACATAGAGAGAATAATACTGATTGGTTGATGATCAGTTACCTTTCATCAGTGGACTTGAGCCAAAATTATTCGACAGAATACCTCTAAATCCAATAAATCAATAATAATAAGTAATAATTCATTAAACTATAAGTAATTTTGAAACACGTTTAGAAGCGTTTTTGAAAAATTGCATAGTTTAATGGATAAATCATCTAATATACTGATTTCATTATATAGTCATGGCACCTGATAAGTCCGACTGATTGTTCCTTATTTGAAACTTTGATTTTATGTCCATTCTAAGAGATAGTATTCCTTTAACAGGGGCCGAATATCTTTCGAAGTTCGATATGAGCAGTAACGGTCCGCTGGGGGCGTCCGTCACACGATATGCCTCTCCGGGCACCTGCGACTTTAGTCAATGGATAATAACAAATCTAAGGTCTTAATCAATCAATTAGTGTTGATTGAAATTGTAATTATTTCATTATGACCAGGCAACATATACAATGACAACTTTGAGACAAGCCGGAATTATAATATTAATAATATAATATGTAACCCTTTAACGTGAACATCTCACCCGTTACTAATAAAGTATATCAAAACATCTACCTCTGTCCCAGGGTCCGATAGCTATTGTGAAAGTTGTTGGCTAGTGTAGAGACAGAAAAACTAGGCCCTGGTTTGTGAAAATTTTCCGAAACCCCAAACTCTAAATGTTATCTTCACTAGTTTCTCCCCTGTCTTACGTTTTTCATCACCTGATAGTACTTCTTTTTGGAGGAGTAACTTACTATCAAACTTTTATTCTTAATTTTGACATGCTTTGGGCGAGATTTTTTTTATTTTTTATCTCTGAAATAGCCGAAATGACTAAATCCATGTGATAATCTTACCTCAAGCTAAATAACTTCAAAAGTTACTTTTAAAAATACATCTTTAAACTTAACTGCAATTCAACATGGCAAAGTCTCTACAAAGGCGAGTCGTCAATGTAGCTTCAAACGCGGTTAGTGATGAATAAGCTTGCTTGAGGCATTTAAAAAAGAAAACAATATTATACAGTAGACGGGTAGCATCAGAGGTCCAGCAAAAGCAAACCATTAGCATAACAGTGAAATATTGTAAATAACTATAGTTACACATGGTTAACAAGGCCCACGATTCCAAAAATAAAGTAAAATATTATATAACAGAACGTTTCTACCATCACCTAACTGATAACCCAGCATAAGCAAAGTAAAAGCATAACAGTGAAACACAATTTGAAATGCAAAAAAATTCACAAAGATAATCGAAAGTCCGTCACTCAATTCGACCGCCGCCACACGACATATGATATTGTATATTTTAGCTTTTATGGATATCGAATATCGATGAAGAAAATTAATAATAAACTTGTCATAAACAATCAGATTTATATCTCACTTTATATTTCTTCAAGTTAGAGGTGATTGGTTTCTGGTGGTGAACAAACGTTAACAACACAGTTTTAGGGTAAGAGCGTTATCAACACAGTTTTAGGGTACGACTGTGTTAACAACACAGTTTTAGTCACGAGCGTTAACAACATAGTTTTAAATTATATCACAAATTCCCAAAAAGAGGAAACCAATCAAAACTATATTATTGTCCTGTTATTTGACGTTTCGGCTTACTGCCTTCTTCAGAAAGTTAGAACATTAATGAAATCAGAAATTTAAAGATTGGGTAATATGAGTTTTGATTTGTAGAATCTTAGTGAGATACCTGATGCAATAGATTGACACAGCAATGGTAATTTCAGAAAAATAGATGTTTGGTGATTTCACTGAAAAACGGAGATTTAAAAATTTCAAATGAATAAACACGGCTTTTAAGATTTCAGATAAATACAGAGGTTTGGTGATGTGAGACAAAAATTGTTGCTGATGCCAACCCAGCTTGGTGAATTCATATTCTTCTTGGATTAGCGAGCAAGCGTTTTACTCACTGACACGAAGCTGCTCCTCAGACATCATGCAAGTCTTGGTCATAAATTGGATACTACTGTTTGGTCTGCTTTTATAAGCAACAGATATTGCCGGATTTTGTAGTCCGAAGCCTCTGATAGCTATGTTGACAGTTGTCGGCTGCTCTTCTAAATTATCTATCAGAGGCTCTAATAGAGACATGTGTTTCGGTCTACGAATTTTGATGCTCCAAAGTTTATAGATTATATAGTTTTATTATCACATTGTCTTTAAGCCACATGGTGGTCCACGGTTCTACTATTGTCTTGTGATATAATGTGAATAGGGGTGTTAATTCCATTGGTGTAGATCGTCTCCGCGTGTTCACCATACAATAATTAAGAATGAAATCATAGCACTAGATTCATACGCATTTTAAACACTTT